ATTTATATAGAACCTTTCTAGTGTTGATGACCACTCAACGTGCTTTATAGAACAGGCAACAAAGAGAGTGAGGCAAGAACAGCATACACAGCTTTAGAAGGCTTTAAAAAGATGTGTCTGTCAGAGACTGGGCAGCAGAGTCTGTGGCTGTGTCCGTGGACCATTTGGAGATGTTAAAGAAGCTAAGGGTGAGCCTGATGTGTGGACCAGTCAGGAAAGGGAACCTGTAAAGTAAACAATAGCCCAGAGGTGACAGAGACTGAGAAAACAAGATAAAACACACAGACGCTCATAGGTTGGGCAGGGAGAAGAGGAAGAGGCTGTGGTGGACCAGGTGAAGGCAAAATAATAAAATAACTAATGTAGATGACCACTGAACTTTACTCTTCAAGTGCAATAGATATAAAAGGCCAATAAATACAAGCCAAGAAGCTGAAGGGAAAAAGACAAACAACACAAATTGACAACCACAGGAGTGCATACAATAGTAGCAACTCTTTCTCCTATTAGCAGGTCATAACAAAATTATTGTTTTTACATTCACCTTAAATCTTGAACCTTAAATTCTGCCTTATTAAATTAGAGAATCGAATTATAATTGGGAGCTTAACAGTTTTCAGATTTACTCTTCTATCCTTTCAGTGCTAACCAGAGTCTCAAGGAGCTGTAGGGTCTGTCATCTATGGCCAAAAGTAACTCAATGGAACTGAACCCAAAAGATCCCTGCGCAGCTTCATGGACAGTAAACAGGACAAAGGATCACAGACTCAAGACAGTGTTTGAAAAGGATGACCTTGCGGGTTTGGTGAAACCTCAAGTGCTCCCTTTGACTTAGGATGATGAGGACTAGACATCTTGTGGTCAAATACTGTGGCCTGAAGCCCTTGAGATTTGAAACATGTCTCTGGTGACTTTGCACCGTTCTGGGCAGACTTAAAGTAGAAATAACTTTCTTATGGCTTTAACAATTAGCCTAGCAATGATTGTGAGCATAGGAATATCGTCAGCGCACCTGTTGGAGGCACAACTCGTTTTTTTCCGAAACCTCAGCCACAGGGACCACTTCATTCATTACACATGATTAAATCTACTTTCACCAATCCTACTAGTTTATAGTCCACATTGACCCTCTACTAGACGATTAACTCTTTATCAAGCCTACAACTAAAAATCTAAAGTTGAAGGCTCAGAATGTAAGATTTATTGTTATATATAGAAGTTTGCTTATTGCAACCAACTGAATATCCTTCCCCTTAGGATGAGGAAAAGGGGTGATAACACAAACTAGTCTGAATTCAAAAGGATAAATGGCTGAAAATGGGTTGATGGGACAGGAAATGTCTGAAAAGGGAAGGAGTGGAAATGTTGGACTGATACCTTTTGTCATTGAAAAGCTTAAATGTATTATGACGTTGTAGAATGGAACATGTATCCTTTCCTCTCAGCTCTCTTTGAAGAAGTAGAAGATTAAGATGGTACAAAACGAATCACATTAAAAATGTGAAAAAAACAAAAGAATCCTTGACATTCCATTGCTATCGGTACATTTTACATGTGCAACAGTGACATTTATGTTATGTTATGTTAACATTTAACATTATTAGGTTTAAATCGGTAGTGATATCTAAGACTGTACGCCTGGCATGTGATAATTGAGAATGTAATATCCTCGACCAAAATGTGATATTGAGTTAATCAGTTTATAGCTACAATTAATATAGCTTATTTTTAGCTTTTGGTAAAAAACTTGTTTTTCTTTTGTGATATCATATCTGGGCTATTTTCACACAGTTTGATATTCACAGTCACACATCTTTGTGTTTTAGACTGTTGCCAATTCTATTTCAGCTATCTCATCAGGGACAGATATTATCACCCTGCTAACAGCATGATAGAAACAGTTTTAGTCTTATGCTTTGAGCTGGGGCCAATAACTGCTGACCCTTAATGCGATACTCTTAGTACAACAAGGAGCTGTGTTAATAAGTTGGGTATTTCTTTGGAGGCAAAAACATCATAATTAGTCTAACCGATGTATTTTTGAGTCATTTGTTATGAACAATATACTGAATGAAGTTTACTATAACTAGCCCCCTACTTATTTATAGAAATGTTTTTTTTTTTATATGGCAACTATGACTTCTTGCTTCTCATCATTTTTCTCTCACGTTTCTCTGCCCAGGATGAAGAACAGGACCCATTACTCAACAGCTTTGGACACCTCAAAGAAATCCTCAACAGCATTACAGGTATGTGGGAACGGGATGAAGTAGTTTGGGTGAAAGGTATTGGGATCTTTACCAGTTTGATTTGTGCGGACCAAACTGTCTGACTGACAGCTTTCACACCACCATAAATGAAAAAAACCATTCAGGCTTTATTTAAATTGAAATGCACAATTTCTGACAGATATGGAGCACTCCAAATCTTATAAAACCCATATGCTAGTTTAGTATTATTAGTTTAGTTAAGTAACTTCTAAACTAAATCTGATTCTGTCACTATTCATCAAAGATAGCTGTATTTTGTCTTTCATTTTTCATTGTTTCAACACATTTAACACACTGTGAGTTCCTTTTACCTTGTCCAAATTGAAAGGGGATATTTAATCAGGTAAGCTCAGTAGATTTCCTCTGAGAAAACAGAGAAATATCTTGGCCTTTCAAAGTTGTCAACATTATCTTGCAACAGTGGATCTTTTCTCTAGATTTTTCTATTGGAACATTTTAAGAAGTCACGGTTTTTCTGTGAAAGAAATACGATACACTTCTTTGTGACAACGATAAAGATAAGTGTTATCTGGTGGTAGACTGCAAGTTTATTTACAAAAACAAGGGGAAGGTGAGTGAGGTGCAGTAATATCCACCAGGGATGCAATTAGAAGTATTACTTTAATTTTCTGGTAGTACTAGAATATCATTCAATGCAAAATGTGTCCTGTAAGAGAATTCCCAGGATTTAGAATATATACAGTTTAGATAAAATGGAGACTTTCTTTACTTGTCGTATTTTGAGACATGTCAGTTTTGTGCACAGGAAATGTACCATTCCTTTATTTTCTGCATAGTCTAGTTACAACCAGGGTAAATAATTAGAAAATGTGTCCTGGCTCTTTCAATATTGTTTTTTAAATCCCTGTCAGGAAAGATGAAACAACACAAAACTGTATCAGATGTGAGAAAAATATTTGTTGTTTTTTAATTTTTTTAAAATTCTCAAACATATGATCATTAGATGATAGTGTAGGGCTGTTTAATTAACACATTTTTGCTGATTTCTAAAATCCTGAAAAAATGTATTTTGCTGATGCATTTTTCTTATCATACTGCACCCACTGATGGATAAATTTAATTCATGACCTCTGCCCTGTTACACTATAGACCTGTTGCAAATTGTTGTGTCCCAATTGGAGGGGCTATTGTATGTCATATCTTTAGAGCAGCTTTGCTGAATTAGCTCAAAGTTTTTCTTTATAATGTTTAGGTCCCAAAACAAAGACAGTAACAGGGCTCCAGGGTGTAACCATTTTGGTCGCACATGTGCCTAAAACTCTCTGTGAATAAAAATTTCCTTGGTCACATCGGTGCACCAAACATTTAGCTTGTCTGTCTCTGTATTTTAGCGAGTCATGTCACTTTCTCATCTCATCTCCTCTCCTCTGCTGAGTCTACATTCACACATGCAGGCCCGGGCTGGCCCCGCCTCTACTCACTCACACACTGACACATGGACAGTGAAGAGGAGAGGTGGTGAACGAGGCGATGAACAAGGTGTTAAATGTTAAACAGTGGAGACAAAAACTGTGAATACAGGGTTTCCGCGACGGATACAAAATGAGTAGCACTGCTGATTCAGAGTCTCCTGTCAGGGTGTGATCCAGAAGGAAGGCAACACGTGTTATGAGAGGTCATAGTGACCTGATTCTAATCAGGTCATCCATGATTCTTTGTGAATTGTGCCGGATATAATGAAATTCCCTTTGGGCATTCCTGATATATTGTTTACAACTATGTAAGGTCACATGACCTTGACCCATTGACCGTCAGCCACTAAAGTCTAATCAGTTCATCTTTAAGTCCAAGTGAATTTTTGCACCGAATTTTAAGACATTCCCTTAAGATGATCTTAACATATCACATTAGGCTTAACACATTGAATTTGAATGTTGGGTTTGCGGACACTTGAATGTCACCACACAAGCAGTATGGAGGCATGTTATGTTTATTCTGTTGTTTTATTAAGTCTGAATTCATGGTCACCAGTTACTTCAATTGTATCGGCTTCGGCTGCTACAAAGTTTACTTATTTTTTGTGGACTCAAACACTTCGCAAATGTTTATACCAAATTTTGAGAAATTCCCTCAAGGCATTCTTGAGATATCACGTTCATGAAGGTGCAACAGAAGAAGGAAGCTGCATGCAGTGAAATCCAACACACACAAATGTCTAGTTTATTCAGTATCACTGGTGATATCATGAGTTGATGTGGTGGGAACATAACCACACTGTGGCATCCCTAATATCACAATAACACTTCCAGTGCTTTGGTCAGGTGTCTGAGGTCACATGATTGTTATGATGAAGATGCTACTCACTGATGGCTTTCAAGGTTTGTCAGTCCTGAGTGAACCTTGAGTCCATGTCTTTGTGAGTCTTTTTTGAAAAGAATTGCTCGCAGCAGCAGTTGGTCCCAAACGGGGATAAAGTTCAGTGCATGTCCCCTCAGAATGGAAAAAGTCTTGGGACGTAAAACACTTTATAGAACTTTAGAAGGGTTGTTGTACCAAGCTCTGTGCTCATTGTTGCTTTGCAGCTCAGTGTTTTTGTGTTGTAGGTTGTCAGGCACATCAGCTGGTTTCACATTAAACAGCATAGCAAATATGTTCACTTCCTTTTGTTTACTTTTCATATCCTGAGACCTCTTGCCAAATGCCTGAGGGAATTTGAAAACTCAAAACTATATTCAGATCACAACAGGCTCTTGTTGAGCAGGAGTGCAGTGTTTGCACAAAATGCACTATTTTACTTTTGCAGTTCTAGCAGCTCTGAAGTGACAACAAGTGCATCCTGATTGTGGTGGCAGCTGATCATGACTATGACTACAACAAGACTGATTGATATGTCTCCTCAGATACTCGACCATTACTGACAATAATTCCTCCATTAATACCTTCCTTTTTGCTACAAACTATTTGCTCTAACCAATGCTGTAATTACTCTATTTCTCTGACGTTTTTTTTTCCCCCGTTTAAAAGTTTTTTGGGGTATTTTTTTCTTACCCTTGTTGAGGGTTAAGGGCAGAGGATGTCACAGCTTGTATAGCTCTATGAGACAAATTGTGATTTGTGAATATGGGCTATACAAATAAAATTTGATTGATTGATAACAAGGCTCATTCACAAATTCTCCTTTTGAATGAGGTTTCAGCTTCTTAGCCTTTAGCTCACTCACTTTAAAACTTGTCTGCATAACATAGTCTCATTGAAAATGCATTAATGTAGAGATCTGTCGATTTAAATTTTGTATTAATTAAGTTACTGCTTTAGCTGATTTGCTTTTCAGAAATATATACCCATCAGATATGTTTTAGAACAGAAATACTTTTTGTACTCTTGCTGATCAGGTGGGTTGTCTCTGACAATGGTAGTGTGGTTAATAAAAAAACCTTGATCAGTGCATCACTACCAGAGACACAATTTCTTCTCAGGTGCTGAGAGAAGAAAATCTTTTCCTGAGATGGACATATTCCTGGCCTTGCTCAAATATCGCTCAAATGTTTGGAGGAAAAATTGAAGTTAGTAGAGGCCAAATATTGGCACAAAAATAATTTACAATTTCGAGCAAAAGATAACAATTAATACCATATTAGTGTATTTTCTTCCCAAATTTGGGGAAAAAGTAAAATAACCTACAGTCCCTGCTTTTACATACATTGACATACAGAAAAAAAAGTTCTTCCATCCTGCAGTTTGTTGAGGATATAAACAACACTTGTCAGCGGGCCCGGATCTAGAATGTTAGTGATGGCCTCATCCGATTGAGCTTGTGCCTACAACATACAAAAATCTCACAATATCTTCCTTTCCCAAAGAATGGCTCAAGTGTGTGTTGCACTGGTGCTTGTCTGACACCCCCCCCCCCACCTCCTGAGAGGCCCAAGCTGGCTCTGAAGACAATCCTGTATGTTGTCATGCCTTTGCAATGACTGTCCAGGCAGCTCCCACAGTCCTACTCTACAGTTGTGTAAGTTGTTAGCAATGGGAAAGATGCAACACATGGAGCTGCACAGTCGGAGCCCCCACCTCTGCTGTCTTCCTCCAGGGAATGCCTCTGCTACTAAGACGGACAGGCGCTGCTGGCTGAGGAGGAATCCACCCTTTTCCTCTCCCAGTAACCCTTTCCCTTCTGTCCTCAAATCACCAAAAGCTCATGTTCCTCCGTGACCATCTCTTGAAATGATTCCATTACAGCCATTGCATTTGACCAGAGTTCGAATAAGAAATTGAAATATTTTTACAGTTTTTTTTTTTAGCATTTGCATGAAGTAATGAGTCCATGTCAAGGACGTTTGAAGGCTTGGTTGCATCCTTAAGCCCTAATCCCCTCTATACCGAGCGTCTCAGATGTTACTTCTATGCCCTGATGAGAGACAAAATGGAGCTCAAATAACCACAGTAGAGCGGAATTCTGTGCTTGACGGACTGATCAATTTGTTTTGTTTTTCAGCAGCATAACAATCTAATAGATCTATAGTTGTGTCTCAGAAACAGCATTATTTTGGTAGGAAATCTTGTGGGTGGGCTGTGTTGTGCTGCTGCTTTGAGGCTTCGCAGCAGCCCAGCTGTCTGCTTACTGACAGCACAGTAATTTCATTCACTCTGGCGCGCATCTCTGTTCCCTCTAACAACAAAAGCCATCCAGTTAAGGAAATATGAATTAGTCCCCACAAGGTTTCTCAGCCCTTGTCTGTCTCTCCTCTCTCTCTCTCTCTCTCTCTCTCTCTCTCATTCTCTCTCATTCTCTCTCTCTCTCGTTCTATCTTTCTCTTTCTCTCTCTCTCGTCGCTCTCCCTGTTTGGCCCAGGGTTTCTCTGCTCAGGCGGTCTTGCTCTGTTGTAACTAAGCTGATTGACAGGACCATGTGCCATAGAGCTCGAGAGTAGTGCAGCTGGAAGTATATCATCTGCAATTTTAGTTGGGTAAATATAGCAGGCAGTCTTGTCAAGCAGAGAGATAAATTGTTCTGGGAA